TCCTGCTGGGGAGGAACAGGCTGGGGTGGCTTGGGCTCCAGGCTGATGAGCCCAGCTGGATTTGGGCAGCTGAACATCTGGTTTATCCTTGCAGAGCAGCAGACTCAGAGCATGCTGCCTGCTGCTCAAACGCACCAGGGATTAAGGCCTGGCTCCTATAGGTCTAGTCAAACCCTAGCAAACGGCCTCTGTGTTTACCCAAGCTAGTATGGAGTTGTAAATGCTTTCCCAGTTAAATAAAATAGAAGCAGCAACAAGGTTGTAAGGTGGTGTCTCCAGTGGTGCTGCAGCCACTGTCATTGGCAGCCTGGGATGAAACCATGGGAGCGCAACGGGCAAGGTGGGCTGTGCCTGTCAGTGATGACCGCTTCTCTCTGCCAAGCGGTGCTGACAAAGCTGCCACATTTGCTTTCCTCACTTCCTCAGTGCTGGTGATTAGTGGTCCCCTTTGCTTTGTTTTCCTGTGACTGCTCACTGCCCGGATAGGTTGGGCCTAAATGCTTTACCTGGCTGCTCCGAGGCTGCAGGTGGCTGGTGGGAGAGGTGATGTCCCAGCTCACATCCTGTCCCACAGACCAAACTGGTCCCAGGCAGCCTAGGGGCTTCCCTAGAGCGGGCTGGGGGACAGCGCTCGCCTCATCCACTGGGGAAGTGGGTATGAGCAACGACCTTTTCCTCCAGCGAGGTGACATCCATTTTCGATGGCAGTACCTGTGCTGAGTGCATCTGTGCTTGTGCTCGGGACGTTGCTGGGCATGTTTGTGGCAGTGTGTTAGGGTCTTTGTGCCACTTCTTGCGCTGGAGCGGATGTAGCTGTGATGCTGACTGTGGGCCATGAGCTTTGATGGCAATGTTGGGGATCCCTGGCATGGGTGTCTCATGGGGTCCTGATCCTACCAGCAGCATCCAGATGTTCTCAGTTTGTCTTGTGGTCTGAGCCTGCTTCAGTGGGGCTCTGCACTCTTGTCCCTTATCTGCTCCTGAGCTGTCGATGCATGAGTGGGGCTGGGGCCTGAGATCAGTTTCTCAGGCAGGTGGCCCAAGAGGAGCTTGCAGACAGCCCCAGAACATGTGCAGCTGAGAATGAACATGTTTTTGCATTTGAGGTGCGTTTGTTGCTATAGCATTTAAGTGCTTGCTCCTTTGAAGTGCTTTGAAGCTGGGCAAGCTTTCTAAAGAACCTCTTCTCTGAAGCATGTTGGGCTGTTTGCTGAGACACCCAGCTGCCTTCAGCAAAATCTGCCTGCCAAAGCTTCAAGCAGCAGTGCTGCTTCAAAACATTGCTCGGGAGAGGGTTTCTAGTGGCTTTGGTGTCTGGGTGCACCAAGGTCGGTGCTAAAGGGGTCTCAATCTCATTCGCAGCGGACAGTCTCGCAGTACCAGGAGGAAGTGGAGCAAACAAGCTCTGCCCTGCAGAGAGCAGAGAAGAATGTGGTGGAAAAGGAGGTGCAGGTGGATGAGCTACAGAGACTCCTGGCAGGGATGGAAAAGGTATTGTCCCCAAAGCTGCAGTGGGGCTGGCTTGACGAGCAGAGCTGCCTGATCCCACTGTGCGGGTGCAGTGGGGAAGCCCAGTGGCGCTGAGCTTGACATTGCTCAGCACAGACCCTCTGGGCTGCAGTGCACATGGAGATGTATCTCTTGTTTGGACCCACTGCAGAGTACCGTGTGGAGAGTTTGACTTCCTAACCAGGCTTAACCTGAAAGCATCAGACAAAGAGCTATCTTGAGCCTGCTGCTTGTGTTACTTGGGTCTAGAAGATCTGGTTGCTGTGTGCACACCTTTTCTTCTAGGTATCCTAGAAACGTGCATGCAGTCTAGACAGCTGCCTGGTTCTTCCTCTCATGGGGGCATTAACACAACCTTGCGGGTTTTTTCTTTTTCTTTGCTGTGGTCTGCTTGTAATATTAAACTCATAAATCTAACAGTTTAGTATGAGTGTGAAGCAATCTGAGACTGCTGCCTGGCCCAACAGCAGGGAAGGAGACTGCTTTGTGCCTGCCTGTAACCTAGGGGAAAAGGAGTGGGACATTTGCCATCGGTCATCTCTGTGGTTGCCCTTACCTATCTTCTCTTGCATGTAAATTTAGTGCTCATGAAAACAACCCAAAGGTCTTGCAGCAAGGCTGAGCCAAGTCTGCCTGGCTCCCTGGGTGTTTGTAGTTCCCTGCATGTGTTGTGACTTGTTTCCCTGTGTGTAATGCGGCCTCTTGCTCTGCTGCAGGAGCACAGGAGTTTGCTGCTGAAGATGAAAGAAGGTGAAGCCGAGCTGGCGAGGCTGAGAAGTGTGGAAGGTGACAAGCTCGCCGAACAAGACCGGTGAGGCTTGGCCTCCAGCTTGGCTGCCACCTCCAGAGCAAGCCCATGCCGCTGGGTTGGGGTGTCAGCTCGCTGGGGCATGACTGCACATTCCTGTGAAGGGTGTGCTCGCTCTCTGGCTTGCAAAACAGCGCCCTACTCCCAAGTGCTGACTAATCTCCAAATACCTTCTGCAGCTTTGCTCTGCTCTGAAAACCAAGGCTCTGGAGCTGGACAGCTTGGAGACCTCTAGTGGTCATGCTGCGGGCTGGAGAGCTCCAGGCAGGTTTTGTCCTGATTAGGGAGCCTCAAGACCAGCCAATCCTCCCCTTCATGTAGGATTTGCAACACCCAGCCAGTATCCATGTGCTCCAGAGGTTAATTGGCAGTGATTTATTTCTTGAAGGCCTTGTTTTGTGGCCTGACTCTTCTTGATATTCCTGTGTCCCTGCAGACTGTTGCTGGTAGTCCTTGTGGCTCCTGTTTGAATAGATTTTGTCTCTGCCTCTCTTTACCTTGTCTAGTCGATGTGTTTCAAGAGCTATGCAGCTGTAGAGACCTGGCTGATAAAAGCTGCTCTGGGCATAGCTGAGCAGGTGCTAGACGCTTTCCCCTTCCTGGGAAGCCAGCCAGTGGCTCCTGGACTCTCCATTTGTTTTCCTAGGTCAGCCAAGCTGGAGAAGGAGGTGGCCATGCTGCGGGAGAAGATACACCATCTGGATGACATGCTGAAAAGCCAGCAGCGCAAAGTACGCCAGATGATCGAGCAGGTGAGAGGAGCAAGGCTGGGTGCCTCTGGGGTGGGAGGATGGATGGGGGCAGAGCTGGCCTGGGAACAGCCAGAAGGGACTGGGCTCGCAGGGTCCTGCTGGGTTGGTTAAAAAAGTGTCTTGAATGAGCTGCTTGGAAGCAAAGGAGTGCTAGTTTGTGGGGGCGATTCCCTTTGCAAACCAAAGGGACACAGGTTCAGAGGCAGCTGGAGCCCTGTCCTGCTGCCCTGAAGTGGCAATGGACCCTGTGGTGAGAGCCCAAAGGGCTTCAATGCTAGCTGTGGCAGCAATGGCAGTGGCAGCCCTTCCTGGGCCAGGGAGGGTAATAAAAGGACTGCTGTGCACCCAATTTGGGCTGCTGAAAGAGTTAAATCGCAGCTGTAGGAGTGGAGGCTCCTTCAGCTATGGCTTAATTCTCAGACTTAATTTGAGGCTTTTTTGATTGGTTTATATGCAGACCTTGTCGTTAATGTTGTGGGTGTTTACAGGTGGAAGGATGGCTGGCTAAGCTGCCCTCCTTCCTAGACACTTCTCCAGCTCAGGCATACACAAGAGGGATTTGTAGCTGGTGTGAACCTTCTTTTACAGCTCCAGAACTCCAAAACGGTGATTCAGGCCAAAGATGCTGTGATCCAGGAGCTCAAGGAGAAGGTCGCTTACTTGGAGGCTGAGGTGTGTCCTACCAGGGCTGTCTCGGGGGGTGGACAGGGGAGTCTACTCTGAGCTCAGAGCCTTTTGTTGAAACGTCCTGGTGCGACTGGCTTTCACGCCTGCAGGATGTAGCTGTTCTTGTTAGAGATGAGTTTTGTGGCATGTCAGGTTCTGGGCAAAGTGGCCAGCAGCAAAGCTGTTCCCTTGCAGTGACACCTGCTTTGAGCAGAGGAACGTGCCCCCTGGAGCCCTGAGGGTCCTGTGGGTTCTTGAAGCTAGTGTGATGGTTTCTGATGAAGCCAGGATTGCTGAAGCAGCTGTGAACTCAAATTGAGTTCAGAATAATCTCATGAAGCACTTTGCTCTGGCAGCAAAACCCTTCTTGCTCACAAAGGTGGAGTTGATTGTGTGCCTGTCAAAAATTAAAATTGCATTCCAGCCTCTAGGATTGTAATGTGTGTCAAACTTCTCTCCTTTTTTGGATAAAATCAGAGCCCGCACTGGCAGTTCTAGCACTTCCTTCTCTTCTTGGTGACTTATTTTGCTAATGTCTGCATGGGGACAGTGTGTGTGCATGCAAAGCCCTCTGAAGCCAGGCAGAAAGCAGAACTGACTTCCTGCCCCAGCTAGAGAGGTTGCAAACACGTGGATTTCCATGTTTTCAATTAAGCTGTTAGCCAGAGGTAGTTTATAAGATCTGGCTCTCCTTTCAGTGAGCAGTTCTTGTGGAGGGTTGGGTTTTATTTCCCTCAGGAAAAAGCTGCCCCATTTCAAGAGGTTATACTGGAGCATTCCTCTTACTTCCCAGCAAGTCATCTGTGTCCTAGCAGCCCTTCTGTCCCCAGCTGCCCTGCGCTAACTGTGGCTCTGATCTCTTTGCAGAATCTGGAGATGCATGACCGTATAGAGCACTTGATCGAGAAGCAAGTCAGTCACGGTGGCCACAGCTCCAGGGCACGCTCAAAATCGGAGTATGTGAGCAGGTACATGGGGAGCATGTATCCTCCTGTGACAGGGGGGCCTGCCAAGCTGCTCAGTAGTTTCATCTGCTGGTCCATGTCTTATCTGTGGAAGCAGGAGATGCAGTCTTGGAGATGGTGCTGGACTCAGGGTTACTTCCTCTGCCCTTGTGAAGTTACTCTGGAGTTTACTCCAGGGGAGTAAAGATCCCTCCTGTGGGTGGTTGAAGAGGATAGTCACCTACCAGGGCTTGGACAGGACTTATCCTGCAGGTTTTCCTTTCGAGCTGGCTGAATATATCCTTTCTCTCTTGCAGCAAAAGGGTGACGGGCCCCAAGCCACTGCCTCTCATTCGAGTGGTGGAAACATGAGTTTCGAGGGCTGATCCGAGCTGAAGACTCTCCCCTTGTTATCACTGACTGGACTTCCCTGCTTGGCTGCCATGCTCTGGCCTCTGTGCTCAGTCTCCCCAGACCAGTCAGCGGAGGGCAGTGCCCCTGGAGAACTGTGGTACCCAGGGGCAGACATTGCCGGGGAGGTCCTGGCAGAGGAAGGAGGTTTATGAAGTGTCCACTCTGCTGTCCCCCGCTGGGCCCCAGGGTCATGTGGATGTCAGTTTGGTGGAGACTGGCTAGGAAGGCTGAGACCAGCTGGCCCTGGTGTGTACAAGGCACCTCTCTAGCTGGAGAGCCCAGCTTGCTTTCCCTGGTCAGTCCTGGGTTTGCCTGGGTTGCTCTGTGAGCAGCCGTTGCTTCTGAAGGGCCCCGTATGAATGGAGCCCTCTCTTCAGATTTCTGCTTGCCACCATGGACTTGGGGTTTAATTTTGTTTTTAATTCACTCTTACAAAGAAGAAATCCTCCTGAAACCGGACTCCTTCCTGTAACAAAGCTCAATGGGTGACAATTCAGGAGCCTCCACCTCTGATCTCCAGCACATCCGGCTGCTCCAGATTTGGCAAAGGTTCACATGGCCAAAATCAGTGTATTGACATGCTTTTCCCAGTCCCTTTCTCATGAGGGTAGAGAAATTGTACCCAGTGTACATGTGTAGTGTTTAAACCCAGAGGCTGTTTAGTTTGTACCTGTATTTATTTCAATAAATTATTGGTGTCTTCCAATGATGTGGTGACAGGCATGATTGCTGCTGTCTGACTCCAAGGGAGCATATTTGAGGACTGCCTGTCCCATGTTTGAACTGGAAAATACCAAGCAGCCTCCTCTGGGCTTGTGAGGTTATGAGCTTGTCCTGTGTGTGTGTGTGTGCGCCTGTGCTTAGTAAAGGAGCTTGGGTAAATCCAGAGGAATGCTGTTAGCATTTGTACTGACCAGAGAGGTGAGACAACATGCTGTAAACGTGCCTCACAACTGTTAATACCAAAAACATGAAGGTCTTAATTTGTCAACCTGTAGCCAATTGAATACATGATGTTAACAGTGCACAGGTGCTGGGATGTGGTGTGGATTGGGTTTTTCTGGCTAAGCTGCTCCTCTTGCTCAGCTCCCTGCTTCTCTAGGGGGCAACAGGCATTGTAGTTTTTTGTTGTGCTGGTGTGTCAAACTGCTAGACTTCCTATTCACCCTCCTGGGCCCCTTTACTCCCAGGGATGGGGCCGGTGCTGTGTCTAATGCTTCAGACCTGAGTCCTGCTGCTGAGCTTGCTGAGGGCCAGGCTAAGCAGCCAAGCAGGCAAATGAAACAGGCCCCAGCTGCTGCTGGGCCCCGCCTGCCCCAAAGGCCAGGCTGGGGGCCAGAAGGAAGCTCCTCCAGCTCCCTGCGTCTCCCAGGGCTGTGGAAGCACCCTTGCGCCGCCCTGCCTGGGGGGCAGTCTGGGGCCTTGCTGCCCTCCTCCGATGGTGTCTCCTACCCCTGGTGGGGGCGGCACAACATGGCCCCTGCCCTTGAGGGTGAGGGCCTTGCTCTGGGCCTGCCGGGCCGCCTGCCCGCAGGGCGA